ATGCTGCTGAGGACCCTGTCAAACACTACTCCTTTAGGAACCAAGTATGCCTCCCATCCTTCCTCCTTCCCTCACAACATGTTAAGAGTGTGATTCAATCAGATCATGAATCCATGCCAGAATAAACTAATGGCAGTGCAGAGAGGGCTGTATCGAAGACTTCTGGGGCTGGCTTGAGTAGGCCAAGGGAAATCAATGGGCTTGCAGAGAAGGCAAGCCAGGGCAGAATTTGGCCTCAGATCAATATCACAAACATCTGCTGGGGAAAGAGGGCAAGAGCAAAGGGAGACAAAATGTTTTCTATGGGGATTTTGGGTAGGACAGGTTACAATAAAACTAGGATCTAGAAACATATGTTGGATTTCAAATAATCCTTCATTTTTCAAGCCCTTTTAGAACTTCAGCTCTCTTGCCATGTGCCTGCCTTTCACTTGAGAAACTCAGGGCCTAATTCTGACCTTCCTTATACTGGCATAAATCAGAAGTAACTCTCTTCAGGTCAGTGCAATCACACCGCTGGAAACCCAGGACTACTGAGATTAGAATGGGCCATTGGTATGTGAGTGCAGACTGTAAAGCTATAATCAAACTGGAGATAACCCCCGATAAGTGTTAAATGCCTCTACTGACCAGGCTGTGGGGGTCATTCAGCCCAGAAATGCATTCTAATCTACCTTTCTAAAAGCTCTTATTAGCCCTCGTAGATGTTCACTGCTCTCCTGAGTTTGCTTCGGTTATTCTGGGTTGGCACAGAACCCAGAAAAGTCAGCAGTTGTGTGTGAGGCAACTTTTTGGAGCCTTTCCAGTCTAGTTCTGAAAGAGCTTGGAAGACTTTGACAGTAGCTAAATGTTTTGTAAAGCTTGTTTAAAGCTTAACTTAATGATGAATGTTCAACTGTCCCTCAGAAACACACACACGCACAACACAAAGTCTGGTTAGTGGAGGCATAGTACATGTTCCTGGGTTTATCTCAGCTTTTATCATAGTTTTGCATTTCACCTTTAAGGGGAGAACTGAACAATATAATCTGACCTATGTGATTGATTACCCACTGGTGCATTGCTGAATGTACTTACTATGGAGGCCTAAATGCATGTCGGCTCTGCAATTGACATACCTGGGGCAGTATTTCCACAGAAGCTCTAGTAGGAAGCTGTAGCTAAAGGGGATCCAACAGTTACTACTGGATGAAGAGCTGGAGGTTTGGGGCAAAATTTTGTCTTGCATATTTGAACCCAGTAATGTTATATGAAAATCTCTGCTTAATTTTTGCAGGTACAAGTGTTTAAAATGCATCATTAAGGGGACACTGGCAAGATGTTAGGGTTGCAAAAGTGACCTGCCTTTACAGTATGACAGTAAGATTGTACCCTGCCTTGCACAGGGTGACATTACAAGCAGCCTAACTCCCTTTCTGCATCCACACATGG